CATTCCTATAAATCATATATTTCAAATTTAAAGTTGTTTTGATATAAATAACTATTTAAAAAAAACTATTTTTTATACCATTTATTTAAAAATTTTAAAGCATATATCATTAAAAAATAGTTAAATATATCTAATTTTTTTAATAAAACTAAATATATTTAGTTAATTTAAAGTTTTACATTTATAAATAAGTGATACATATATAAAATAAGTTATTAATATAAAAATTAATTTAAATTATATTGATGTAAACTTATACATAATTAAAAAAAAAAAGTTTAGCCTTTCTCCTCAGCTCCCCTAACTTTAATTTCTGACTCAGTCCCTGATTGGACTCTAAAGTTAAGAAACAACTTTCCCTATAATACACTCTCTCACGCCATTAAAAGTATAGAATATTAAATTTGTCTAGCATTTATTTTTAGAATCTTAAAGTTGTACTATTATTCCTCATAGAACCACATTCAAGATTTAACGTAATAACAGAAGTAGTAATTTTGAAGATGGAAAATAATCATAACATTACACTTGTGCTTCAAACCTGCTAAAGGCCAGTACATATGGAAATTAAACAGAAAATAAATTATTACTCACCCATAAATTCTAATTAGTTTCACTAATAAAAACAATTGATACACAATTAATAGGAAGATAATCGCTCAAATATTGCTTCAAGGTGTTTCCAAATACGAATCCAAGTACAAGAAATTGAGAGCTAACAAAGAGAAGGAATTTGCTGGTTGCAATTCCCAGAATGACGAGCCAAATCACCAGCATGATGATGCCAACCAAGACATTCACCACCTGATGAAGTCTGTTGACAGCTGTCTTCGTATCGTTCAATGTCAATGCAAGTGCCCTCCGTTCTCTGAAAGCATTAGCCTAAGACATTGAAAAAAAAATACATCATGAAATGATAAAGCATTTATTAAAACTTCGACGTCCAGCTACTATTTCAGACCTTTTCTATATGTTAATGTCGGCCTCCGGTGGATTTCCATGCCAAAGTGCAGCATGTTTGTCGGTGTATTTGTGTGTGAGTGAGTGAGTCAGAGGTATATTTATTATTATTATTTTTTGAACAGTTTATAATTTTGGGAGAGTAGGGGAGTTTACAATTTTGAAAGAGTAGGGAAGGGGATTTTTCAAGATATTTGTGGAATTTAAAATCTCGAACAATTAATTTAAACTCCTTAAGAGTTGAGGATGACTTACTTGAAGTCTTAAGTCCAATTCGAGAGGTATACTTATTTAGACAGCATCAATTACAGAGAATAACATATACATATTTTATTATAGAAATGAAAACAAGAAGGCAGCAATCATGGTTATATGCTAACTTTTGTATTTAAAATAGTTATTAAACTTATTTACTGTCTTCATAAATTGTATTTTATTGTGTAAAGACTGGATCCAAGTTAGAAATCTTCTGATTTTTTTTTTCTTTCTGAGCTTATGCCTAGGATAAGCTGAGTCAAACTCGAGCTTTATATCCATCGGTTGTAAAAATCCATTATGAAAAACATATAGTTTCGATACAGACAAATATCAGGACCCTTTTTCATTTTTTTTTTTTTTATTCTTGGGACTGGGAGAATTTTAACTTAGTTACCACTTAGCTTGTGCTAAGGTTTGCACTCTCATTGTTGACTTCCAGAACTAAGAAAGTAGAAAGTAGGCTTCTTGCATTTATTACTTATCATACCAACTTGATATTTTTAGTATTATAGTATTTTTCTATTGGAAGCAACTTAGATAAATTAAGTTATTACATTGATAGAACTAAATCCAACATCTTATCAGGCCTTACAAGAATGTTGCTGTAACTGGAAGGGTTAAGTCAAAGATTATGTTTTATACATGCTTGCACAAATAATCTACAATATTACATGTACTCTTCCATTAGCTAATAAATAGGAAAAAGAAAGCATATCATCAGACTTTAAACAAACAAAATAGCAGGTGCCGCATTCTTACCACCCAATTCTTCAGGGTTGATTTGCTAATTTTCTTGCTTTCAGATCCTCCTTCAAAGAGACTCATAGTTTTCGAGGCCTCATCACATCGCATGAATCTTGAAATGTCCTTCAAATAAACGTACCTGATGAAACAGTTATGAGCAACGTCACAATAAACATGAAGAATCACCTCTAATGTCTAAAACAAAAAGACATCAGTGCATCACGAAACGTACCACACTAATTACTATCTATCTGTACTATTTCTGTTATTCACTCCGATGAATGCCAATGTCACGAAGATAGAAACCAATTACATGAACACAAAAGAATGAGCTGACCTCTCACATACCAGTCAAAGATCTGGCTCTAGAAAACCAACCAACAAAAACATATGCTTTTTAAAGTAGTCACACAAGTAAGATATATCGGTAACATGTTATCTATAAATTTTCTAGTCTGTTTCCTGGCCACTTCCCCTCACTTCGCACTTAGGTCACGCCATGCTCCTTTACCAATAATATTATGTAACAAAAAAAAATCCACTTGCTGACCCGGCAAAAAAACAACAATCAAGCAGTTTTATCCTTCCTGTACAATATACCACGGAGAAGGAAAATACAGGCTGAGCAGACTTTGGTAATGTAGAACTTAATTTCCAATAACTATGAGTAATTATTAATGCCATCAAATTGATTTGGAATATGCATCTAAGTTGAATCCTAGCTTTTGCCTAACATGAACCATTAAAACACTCCTTCGAGAAAATATGTAACTATAAAATTACCTGCTACTCTGACTTTTGAGAAACTTAAAAAGAGCAAGTATTTCCAACTGTAATAGTTGCCTCATATAATTGTCCAAGCACTAAAGCAAAAGTTTATGCCAAAAGCCTCAATAGAAAATCTAGAATTGAGCTAAATTAATTCAAGGCACACACACAAATCATTTGAAAACAAAATGTAACAGATCAAGGACAAACTTGGAACCTGGCTTAGCATCATTCTGGAATATTTTTTTGGCTGCAATTTTTGCCTCGTCCAATGTAGAAAGAGCACCATGCCCAATAATATTCATCAGCCTCTTCATATTCCAAGCTGAAACGTTCTTAGGGTTCAATTTGTGAAGGTGATCTACACTTATCCTCTGTTCTTCTTTATCCCCCTCCTTAAAATCCTCACCGCTGTTATTTCCACCACTACTACTCCTAGCCACATCCACATTCTATTTTTTCCGGCCCGTTCCTCACCAATTTATAAGAATCACTCAAAAAATCATAGCCCGAGTCTCCCCAAATCCCGTTCTCAGTTCTCACCACCGGAAGCGTTGTTCTGACTACTTCCACGCGTCAAACCTTATAACAAACTCCTTCCGATTGGCCGAATCAACGGTCATTATACACCTGGTTTAAATTCACCAGCACCAGAATGCCGATGCCGATGATGTAGGAATACAAAAGAATAAGTATGAAAATTTGTTTATTTAGATAAGGATTTTCTTTGGGTTTTATTTTTGGCTGTTAATTTCTTCAGTTGACCATTCAATATCACGCAACTTTTTCTTTTTTGGTAAATAGAGATATGAAATATATTAAAGATTAAACGGCTAGCAATTCTTGGGAACACAGTCCCAAACTCCCAATACAGTCATGATACAAAAAGGAAGAGATCCCAGGAGGGCTCCCATCATACAAAACAAAATTCATGGCAAAGGAAGTTCCAAGCTTAGCCAACCTATGACATTAGAGTCTGTTTGCTTGGGGGAAATAACTCAAGAAAGTTTAATGTTTTTTTATTATTTTTATACTTTAATGGTATAATAAATAAAACATAAATTACACCTTATCTTTTGGATTTAATAATATTAATAACGTTGAATAATTGCATTTTTCTTTTTTGGACGGTTCGATCGATTTCTCATATCAAATTGTTCAAAAGAAAAATAAGATTGATATTATTAATTTTTATTTTTTAACATAATTTTTAATAAATGGTCTTTTTTTCTCACGTTTTATTAAGAAAAAAACATTTTCTTAACTTTCTCAACTAAGATCTACAAGAAAATTTTTACCCATCTTTTTCAATATTAATTTTTTACTAAACATGAAAAAAATAAATACGTAACAACCCAATAAAGCTTTGATTATCAGTGTTGTTTTGTGTTTCAGACTGTAGTTATAGGTTTTCTTGTTTTTTTACTATTCCAAAAATATATAACATATTAATTAAAATTAATAAAAAATATAAAAAAATAATTAAAATTAATTAAGCATAACAAATTTACATTTTTAAATAAAAAGCCTATAAAAAGGCACTAAAAGATGAAGCCTAAGACTTCAACAAAATTTCATTATAAAAAATGATATCTACTTCACAAACAATATTTTCTTAATAAAAACTTTTTTTAGTAAAATCAATTTTGAACCAAAATATGCCCTAAAACAAATAGGTGTAAAAAGTAATGTTTTGGTTTCCTTTGACCTAAGCGTTATTCGTCAAGAAAAACGAAACCGTATTCTTAATACTAGATAATGATGTTAACGACTTAAATAATTTAATAGTCATCTCATTTTATTAAAAGTAAAAAGTCTTGAATTCAAGTTGTATGGCATGTGGGTATAATGAGATAAATGATAAAGGATGATTGTCTCTCATTGTGCAACAAAAATAAAAAAAAAAAATTATGGACAATGATTTTTATTCTTAATGTCGTGACAAGAACAATGTTTGATTTTCTTCTATAATCTCCCTCAAGGAAAAATTTGCTCGTGAAGATTGTGCGTTTAATTTGATCCTATAAACAAAAGATATCGTTAGCAGTGAGGTATATTATTGAGCAAAGTAATATTTTTTCAACATAAGAAATTTAAAATCACAAGCAAAAGCTAATTTATATTTAATTTCAATTTCATAGTATTAACCTATAACTATAATTGTAAGTTATTTTAGTTTTTTTAACATCGTAAAAATATATAAAATATATTTAATATATTTAATAGGTAAAACCATATTATGTTACATAATCACTGTTATAAATTATAATATATATGGTTCATTTAGATTTATTGAGGTAAGGGAAATCATGCTTAGGATGAATCTATGTGTATTTTGGGTAAGATTTTTTTATCATTATGGTACTAAGTGAATTATTTATTTATTTATTTATTTATTTTTTACTATTAACCTCCTGATATTTAGAAGTTACATTGAACTCTGACTAATCCGTAACCCAATTGGGTTAGACCCCATAGGGAAAAAGCTCTTCCAACACCCTATTTTTCTATTTACAAGATTCAAACTCGAGATCTTATTTAAGAAAAATTAATCTCCTTCCACTCAAATCAACAAGTTATTGATGGTACCAAATGAATTATATTTATGTTAGTATAATACAAATGAGAATAGCATAACAGAGTATAGATAGTTATGTGACTCAAATGATGGAATTCTGTTTTAATTTAAATTTACATTAAATTTAAATAGACAAAAAGAAATTTGTATGAAGAGATATTAATAAGCGGCTGATCTGACACTTACGAGACCCACCAAGGCACCAATGCATAGTTTGGCAAAAATATAAATAAAAATAAAAAAAAGTCGCACTTGCCCTTCGAATAAGTGACCTCAAGTCATTCTTAAAGTGCATCTTTTTTTTTTTTAGCTAACGATTTAATTTTGATATTTTACAAATTTGTTTAAAAAAAAAAAAAAGACCTAAACATCTGACCGTCTATGGTTAACGGTTAACAAACAGGTCGTCACTCTTAAAGTGAACAGAGGACCAGTATTGACGTATTTTTTAACAGTAGAGGGAGGGCATGTGAAAGTAATAATAGTAGAAGGAGAATATGAGGTAAATTGATAGTAAAAGGTTTAAATTGAACTTTTTTAAATAGTAAAGGGATGATAGTTGGCATTAACCTAATTATAATATTTAAAAATATTATAATTTAATTAATTAAAAATCTCTCTTCTCCTCTCTATTTTCTTAACTTATTATTAAATTAAAAACCTCTGTTCTCCTCTCTATTTTTTGTTAAATTATTATTAAATATTATAACATTTTTAAATATACATCTTGATTTTTTCTTTTTCTTTTTTTTTTTAACCATAAAGATTTTCTCATTCATT